AAATAAGCAAAAACACATCATTTTCAATTGAAACAACAAAGTCACATTTTCAACCATAAACAACAACAGCTTATTAAAAGGAAAACACCTTTTAGATTCGTTTAGGTCGAAGATACAACACTACGATAGACAGAGAAAAAAATGTAGATTTTCACAATGAGTAGCGTCTTTTTCATGTTGATTGTTTGGTATGATGGGTAACTACTCCAAATTCTTTTTTGAGCATTACTAGATGTGATAAGTAATAGTAAAACATGTGGAATTAAGCGTAACGAGCTAAAAGCCTTCTACAAAGCTTGAACCGACATCATATGGGCAATAAAAAAGTTTGTCTTTGCACGTAGGAAAAAAAAGATGGAGAACTTTTTTAAAATTCCTTTCCATTGCTGAGAAAATTCAATTTTCCTGAACCACGGGCGACAAAGTCTGAATTGTGCTCAGAGTTCTAAATTTTCTTTTTCAGAACGAAACTTGTATGCAACAGAAATATCACATTCAGAATCTGGATCGAAAGTTGAGTTCACCAATGTGTATTTCCAAAATTTCCGCTGTTTTTCGTTTTTCGGTGAAAACCTCGATAATTTTCCAATGTGAAAATTCGAAAATAATTAAAGTAGTAGGATAAAATAGAAGAATCAGTTCTGTTATCATCACTGAAATCACCTGTTGTTACAGAATATGGAAAATTCCCAGTTCCATATGTCACTTGACTTTGAAATGTTCTGTCGCCGTTACCGACCCATATATATTGACGAAGTTATCGTGTGTGTAAGAGGAGACGTAGATTCGTCATCAATTTTATTTATAGAGCACTTTATCAAAATCGTAAATCATTTATATGGAGTAGTTCTGATTATGAAGAAGAAGCTCTTCGGTCATTGAGCAAACGACAAGATGCTGTTATCCGTCCTATCGACAAAAATGTCGGTATTGTTGTTCTGAATCAATCTTCTACGAGTCTAAAGTGTTTCAAGAACTACAAGATAAAAAATTTTATATACATATGTTCAGAAACATTGTCTAGGACGTCCAATTAGGAACGGAACATTTGACCGCGAACATTTCAAGATATCTAGAACGTAAACTAACACTGTTTATATCGTTGCTTACCGAAATTGCTAACAATGAATATGATATGAAAAATTCTTTTTTTGCTGAGAGACACCAATTATTTATTACAAGAGATCGAAAAATTTAACAGTGAAGCTCGAAACCAAAATTTCAATTTAAAACATTTATTTCTCGTCACTACAACAATCGTCAAATTTCTTCAACATTTTAGGTTCCTGCTAGATGGTGATTTTATCACCATCTACCTACAAACAATTCTACCAAATGGTCCTAAGAAATAATTTCTTCAGATTCAAACGTTCTATTTCCAAACAAGTTAAAGATACAGCGATGGGTACTGCTTCTGCTCCACCACATGATAACATTTATGTGTTCAAGAATGAAATTCATGCGTTATTAGAATACATAAAGTACCCACGATCACTCTTACGTTATTTTTGTTTTATGGATGATGTTTTGCCCCCTATTCTATGTCCTTCAATCAATCAAGTTCGTGAACTATTATCATTGTTGAATAGTCACAAGCAAAATTTAAAATGAAAAGAAACTAATAGGAATTCGAAAAAGCTTCATCATACCTGGTCATCATATCTGGTCGATCTCTAGCTTTGTAGAAGGCTTTTAGCTCGTTACGCTTAATTCCACATGTTTTACTCAGACTTTTCTTCGAGAACATGGTGAAAACAATTCTTAATGCTTTCGTCAACCAGATGATGCTTGCATCAACCCATAATCTCTATCTAAACAAGAAAAAGTCAATATTGATACGAAGTCAGAAAAAGTACACAGCAATTTCGGTCCGTTGTTCGTCCCCAGGCAAACAGAACGGTCCGTTTAAGGCTGTGACTGAAATTCGTCGCTGGTACATTAACGGCATTTGTAAAGTTATCAGTCACGTAGGATAGACGATGACCTTTAACTCTGACAGCCACATGTTATTTGATGGATGCTGGCGAGATTTGTATGGACAATGAAGTGGTAAAATCATTTTGTATCAGATTTTAATGAGCCAAATGTAACTAATTTTACATCGACTGGTTTCGGATTGATGATATCGCCTTCAAGTTCAACATGTTCCGAAACGTATTTGACCAATTTTTCAGCATCCTTTCGTTTCATTGAAAATGTTATGCTATTTTTTCGTTCATTATTAATGCCGTTGAATCGATCCGTATCCTTTTTCTTAAGTGTTAAATCATCATTTATTGACTTTGTGCTGTCCGTGTTCTGAACGTGAACGTCGACATCAAGACCCAGTTTCATGCTTGCTGAAAACTAACCAAATGCACTTCCACCCGTTTCTGAATGAACACCGGTATTAACATCGTTGATATTTGTGGTATTCCTAGATCGAGCTGCTAAATGTTTTTCTAAGTCATCGAGTTTTTGTTTTTCACGAAGTTTCAAATTCTGTTTTATATCTTCGTCTGCCTGTGAATAGTAATAAAGATACTTATCAGAGTCCAGAACATCACGTTTTATGATTTTATTCAACGTTTTTGTTGGATGATCAGGTCGAGTTAAGTCAGGCGTTCAATAGAGCGAATCCCAAAGGTGATCATTGACTGATTTCAATTGAACTTGTTTATACTGAAGTTGACGATCAATTATTTTATCAATGGCAACTGAATCTTGTAAACTTTCATAACCTTCTTCAACACGTAAACTCATTGTAATACTATCTGTAGCTTCCATCAGTAGGTTTTTATAGTCATTTCCAGTTAAAGCAATCAAGTCTTGATTAGAAGGAAATTGTGAACATATTTGATTATACATCGTCGTACTAGTGATGTGTTCAGTGTTAATTCCAAGTTGACGAGTCGCTGTTTGTTGCGCATGCAATGAATAACGTATATCAAAATTTGGTAGACGACAACGTGATGTTAACGATGTTCTGGCGCTTTCACAGACGGACATAGTCGATGTATAGATAATTAATTCAACTGTCTGTCGAAGTTGTGTATTGCTCTGCCATTCCTTATCCAATGTGTATTTACTTTGTGTGTCATTAGTTCGGAGTCCTTTTTGAAACAGACGAATTGAATGCATTGGTAGCGGCGAAACGTCACAATGTTGAATACGACAAATATTATAATGTTGCTTAAGATGATCTCCAATCGAATTAATCAAATTCGGAGTATAAAGTGAAACTGACAAAGTTAGTTCATTATGACCACTGAATTCATTCAAACTGCATTCAGTTAAATTCGGTTCAATATGTGGAAATGGTGTAAAGAAAAAATCGATCGGTTTACGTTGGTTCTGCAGCAGATATACTTCACCATCTTGATACTTAAATCGACCGCCATCTGTTTCAATTTCAGCATGAAATATATTCGTACCACCACCGCCACCACCACCACCAACACCAACGGTTGAATCATTGGTCCCGCCTGACCTTTGTTGTGAATCGATTCTAGCAGCTGTTAGCAACAGAATATGTACTGCGACAACAGCACACTTTCTTTTCTAAAAGTAAATAACGTACAAAACATAATTAGATCTTGATGCATCTTGATTTTTTTAACCTTTTTTTATAAAACTTAATATATTTAAAATAATTGAAAAGAAATTAAGTAAAATCATTTTACACAATTTCTTTTCAATTATAATTAGATCTATAAATATATTAGATTCTGTGATTTATAAATCAAATATACGAAAAGAGAAACTTTCTTATGAACTCAATAAGGATATTCTGTGAAAAAATGTGCTTACACAGGAAAAAAGCCCAGAGTGAGAGCTATGCTTTCGACTATCGAGAGTTAAATTAAAAACTAAATTTTTTCTTAAAAAGTAATTTATTGGAACGGAACAAGAACAGAAAAACAAAAATATTTTTTGGTATTTAGACGCATTTTCTTTTCTATTCTTTTCGTAACTTCCCGTTTACTACAGATGTATAGGGCACTATGATTGACACGACTTAATTCTTTATAAAAAATATGATTAACATCTCTTGGCAAACATCGGACTTTTGGAGTTCTTTGCTTCATCTCCGTAATGAATTTGCAGAAAAACTTTCTGAAAAAAAATTAGATTAGAATCACTTATTACGTTGAATGATGTATTTCTTCTGTTCTCAAGTAACAGCACCGAATAAAACATCCAGATTCTCCAGAAGGAAAAGTAAATAACTGCAGACTTGTCAGCTTTCTGAAAGACAAAGTTATTCGATCTGGATCTGATGCGATAGTGTGACGATTGTCTTTTCCAGTAGGTTCAAGGTGGCGACTGAGCTAAACACAAGAACTAGAACTATATTCTGCGATGGACTATAGAGGTAATATCACGATTCGAATTCCAAGTTTTTACAGTTAGTCTACTTTCTACCGAAGCACTGTGATTATTCCAAGCAGTGGACTTAAGCTGTACAGTAAATAGAACTGCTATCTTGTGGCTTTAACAATGTAAATACACTAGATTTGTAGAGTAGTGGATGAATGATACAGGTGTAGAATTGACTTAGGTGATTCCAATACGTAGCACAAAAACATTTATAGAATCGACTATTATGATCACGAATATCGCCTTTAAGCTTTTCAAAGTGAAAAGATGACTCAGGAAAAAACGTTTACGGAACTTGGTCCTTCGGTAAAAAACAGGTTTTTCAAGCTCTAGCGTCCACTGTTCGCGTGGAAAATATATCAAAAACACCTCTGTAGATTCAGAAAATGACGCTCTATCAAGAGAAATAGCTGAAATGTTTGCTGCAAATGTTCTATTTGAAATACGATCATTTGATAATATTATTTATGCTGATATATCATATCAAAGTAAAATTCCTGATGAAGAAGAAATCTTATTTGATTTGGGTAGTTTATTTCAAATAAAAGATGTTCAAGAATACCAGCCCGATAAATAGATTGTAATAACGATTAAATGATGTTAATTATTTAAAAAATGCTTTTATTCAACGTAAACGTGAACGACTGATACAAGACGGTTTGAAGAGTAGTATTAAACGCGATCGTCGTTATGGATGTTTTTTATTTTATTTAGGTAAATATACGAGTGCTGTTAGTTATTTTGAAAATTTATTAAAATCCATACAGAATGAAAGAGATCAATACCATATTCATTATAGTCTTGCAACAGTATATAATTGGACTAAACAGTATGATTTAGCATTAGAACATGTAGTTATTGGATATAATACTAGTGCAAAATTAAATCATTTGACAGCAGTTACGTGGACACTACGTTTGACAGGTTTAATTTATTATAATCGAATTGATTATGATTATGCATTAAAATTTTTTTGTAAAGCTTTAAAAGATATTGATCCGAATACTAGTTTTGATCTGATAGCTGATATACAACAAGATATGGCATGTATTTATTTTATTCAAAATAATAGTCTCCTTGCTCTAAAACATATTTATCAATCATTAGGAATCATAGATGAATTTTATTTCGATGAAATATCAGATATAGCTGATATACATATAACAATTGGACAAAGATTTTATAAATGAAAAAATTATAATCTAGCATGTAATCATTTACATAAAACATTGAATATACTATTTTAATATTTTTTTTTCTCCATACTATATTTTCGATATTATTATCTTCCTTCTCATTTTCTTTGTGTGATTTTATCTCTTTGACTGAACGATTTAGTTGATTGCCTATAATTTTATCAATAAAATCAAGTGGATATCCGTTTTGTTTTGCTAGTTTTCTAATAAAAGCTGATTTTTCATGTAGAACCTGATAGTCACCACAAATTTTAATGGCTCGATAAACCATTGTACTAATCGCATTTCTCTTATGCATAACTGGAACTAAAGAATCCCACTTCGTAAGCAATTCAGTAAACGTCGGTTTTCAATATACTGTTGTTAAAAATTTATCATTGCTCCGTGTAATCGTCACGTCTAAAAATGCTATTTTATTTGAATTCTCTTGTTCAAAAGTAAATATGATAGATGAATGTAATGACGATAGTATATCACAAATGTTCGAGGTGAAATCGAATTTCCTAATAACACAAATGTATCATCAACACACCGTCTGAACAGTTTAACACCTAAACCTGTAAGTGTATTCATATGTTTACTCTCAAAATGATTCATAAAGATTTCAGTGAATAATGGTGCAATTGGCGACCCCATACTCACGCCATCTATCTAATCATACAATTTTCCATTGAAATAGAAGTGACTACATTTCGTAGCAAAATAAAGTAGTTTTCGAAAGTTAACGGCATTCGTAGTTGATTCTCTACTTGAGAAGTGGTACAATTTGTTTATTATAATATTAATGGTTTCATCCACTGGTATATTGATAAAGAGACTGTTCACATCAAATGAGACTATTTTACTGTCATTAGCTAAATGTTTGTTATATTTTAATATATTAATGAATTGAAACGTATCTTTCACGCTAAATTTATTATCACATAGGAAACTCAATTCATTATAGTTGCTCAAACGATAATTAAAAGTATTGATAGACGATAGAACAGGACGTAAAGATGTGTCTGTCTTATGAATTTTTGGTAAATCATAAATACGAGCAGGACTCAAGCCAACAGGACGTATTTGATTATAAATTGACTCAGTAATATGTCCTTTCTTCAAAAGTTTTCTCAAAAGACGAATTAAACTATTTTCTCGAGTTATAGTTGGATCAATCAAAATTTGTTTAAACTTGGTAATGTCATTAAGAATCAATTCCATTTTACTGCTATAATCTGTTCTGCTCATAATGCAGCCCTTATCTGGACGCGTGATGACAATAGATGGATCTTGTTTCAACGCTCGTAAAATATCATTTTCTTTCTTATTTTGACATTCATACTTTTGCAACTTGCTTCTTGCTTGAAAACTAAATGAATCAGTAAGGGAACGAAGTTTGTTGGCTAAATTCATTTCTAACGTTGTTAAAACTCGTATTTCATTCGATTTTGTGTTGTGTTTATTATAATCTATACTATCAGATTACAACTTTTTATGATGTTTATCCGTACCAGTTGCGTGATGGAATAGAAATAATTGCTAAGTCATCAATATGATTAGACGGTCGAGCAAATTCTAAACCCTTTCGGAGACAATTATCTTCATCTAACGTTAAATTTCTTATTGACAAATTTATTACACTTTTATTGTAATCGTTAGTAATATCCGCAGTCGATTTGTTAACCTACAATGTAGGTTCCAGCCTCAAACGTGTTAACTTTCTATCATGTTCTTTCTTCCATATCAGTGTCTTGCGATCATGTCCAAAACTTTCATTATTCTGATATACACGATAAAACAAACCAGTGTAAGTTCATATTGTTTATTAGTTCGATGTAAGTTTTTATGTTTGAAATTCAATTCCTCCTTTACGAACTGTAATTGACTAGTGCGATACACGCAGGTGACGATGTAAACTTTACGTTCATTAGATTGTTTAGAAGAAATCATTCTTAGAATGGAGATTGTTTACCTGAAAGTCGTGATTGCATTTAAAGAGCTTTAATATATTTTTGTTGTAGGGAATAATACGTCTCGATTCTTGTGTAGTTCATTTCATAATAATATCTCTATCTCTGTACAACATTATTCTTCTTTCCTTATAGTTTCTGAAATAGGTTTGGTCAGCCAGTTCTGATGGTTTACCGAATCGACAATTTAATTTCTTGAAAAATTCATTTCTATTTTGTTTTCTTCTCTCGATTTAATCATCTCTTCAGTTAATTCGGCATCTTCAAATTCCTTCTCGAAATTTATTTCAACATGTTCAGAATTTTTGTATTTCTTATTCTCTGAGTTTTCCTCTTGCTCTCCTATGTGTTTTCGTTTATTAATTCTAACTTTCCTGTCACTTAAATTAGTATATCAGAAAGAGAGATGTATATGTATCTCGTCTGCGTTCATAGTTTTATATCTAGCTGTTGTACAAGTAAATGTATGTCATATGAAATTGGAAGTATTTTACTAACGGATGTAATAATAGTTCCTTCAAAGGATCTGGCATATCAGTCCGTAAAAACATGTCTAAACATTTTATTATTTCTTCTCTTCCTTCTAGTGTATCAACAGATGGAGGATTAACTATCCATATAGTAACATGAGCATGTGGTAGATCATCACGTTGAAATTCTATTTTTATAAAATAATTAATAACTTTATACATAATCAGAAATGGATTGGAGTTGCCCGTAATGAATGAGATAAAAGTTTGTACTCGTTTGTTAAATATTGACGCATACAAACCACAATTATTATTTACAATTTCAAGGTATTCGTATTTATCTAAGTTGTCTATCTCCTTCAAATTAGGATTGTCGATCGTACCAAATCTATTTAGATCTAAAATACCATTAGATATTCATATTGCTGAATGATGTAAAAATAAACTCATATGGTACTATCTTTAAACTGCCTTTCATTTTAAAGTTTTTTTTTTTTTTATCTTACCAACAGCACACAAAAATGTACTATCATCTTGATGATTTATAGACCACCATATGAACAGTTTGCCGATTGTGGCATACATTCCACCAAGCAGACCTTTTGCTTTCCACCAATAGGCAGCTGTTCCACGTATGTTCCTTCCAATACTTGGATACAATGAATACATAGTTGCCGATGGTTTAAATTTTTTCTTAGCAATATAATTCACGGATCTCAAAAGATCGCTACGTTATATGCTTACATTGTGATATTACAAACGTCACAAAAACTCACTGTTTGCGTAAATTATCATTTATTTGCTCCACATCATTCTGATCAAACTGGATGTTATCAGTATTAGACGATATAAGTTGCAACCTTTGTTATGTATGTATAACTTCCTCCACGCGTTTTTTATTCGCTAGATTAATACATTTTGGTACATTTGCATTACATTTCTCCATCCCGTTGATTAAATATTTCCTTTTCTTCGAAGGTTTAGTATTTCTGTTTTTCTTAAGTTTTTGTGAACTCTTAGACATATCCTGTCAGTTCATTTATGCTCATATTAAATATTTAAATCTATTCGTAACATATCAACTGGTCTATTACTTCATATCAGATGTTGATGTGCTTAAATAAAATCCTTTCTGGTTCCCCTCACCAATCAAAAAACCAAAATCTATTAAAACTGACTAAATGAACTCTTTATAAAACGAAAATTGATTGTAAGTAAAGTTCTGTTTTCATTTATAAAACATTTTACAGGACTTACAATTTCAGGCGCACTCTGTATATCTTGTAGATGCTTATTTCTACAAATTCGTCAATCTGTTTGAAGACGTTAAAGAAGTTTCACCCTTTTAGTCCCATTAGGGGCTGCCCTAACAAGGTTTTAAAAGTAAGTGCACTGCATTTCTTAGAAAGGGAGTAAATTAAGATAAATAAAACCTTCCAACTTTTCCTTAGCGACAGAGTTGAACTATATTCTTCTTGGGTCATATTACGGCATCTCTTTATCTTTCTCAGATAATGCATAAAATCTAAGATATCTCCTTTTGTGTAGATTCAGTTAAACATAGTGATTGTACAAAATCTCAAAATAAAAATGTACATAAGTGAGAAAATGCCTCAAAGACTGATGTCTTCACAAATGTGAGTATCATCGACGTAAGGTCGCTTTGCCGTTAGTGACTTTCAGGATGTAGCAAAGATCAGTTCGGTTCTGTTTGACGCACAGAGGATTGGGGCTCAGTCATTCTGCCTCATTCACAGGATGCTAGAATGGTTCTAGCAATGAACTGGTCCTAGCGATAATATCCACGGGTATACACTCTATGAAAGTTCAAGCGTGAATGCTCGATGCTTCACATACGGCAAACATTTTGTTCCCTGATGCATTTGATGAACCTTTAAGCAATCTTTGTAACATTTTTAATTTTTTTCTTTTTCTTTCTGCCATTAATTTTACCAATAAATAGGTTAGAACTATTGTCAAAAGTGCAAAACAAAACAATAGTAAAATGTCACGTCAACTGCTGTGAACTCTTCCATTTTGTTCGTGGTAATGATCTTTTAAATGACGTGTTTTTTCGTCAAGTGGTGCATTAACCACAGCATGGCAATTGTGTTTGTCCGTTATAGTATCTGAATATGTTTCTGTTTGAGAGTGTGTTTCGGTTTTACCAAAAAGCATTGTTTGTTTTTATAAACACCACAATAACAATCGTTATACACTTATAAAATATACTTATATATTTCTACTGAGTTGAACAAACTTAGTAGCCGTGCGCATGTATTTGCTCTACAAAAGTAGAGTATAGCTCCAGATTATGTAGAAAATACAAAACAAAATAAACAGAACAAGTATCTGACTGAACTTTTTCAAGTAGATTTACTTGCAGTGTGTCAGCCAAGTACTTTCTCAAGTACTTGGCAAGTAAATTTACTTGGAAAAATCCATAAGTACTGTACTCATTACTTAACCCAAGTACTTGCCTTAAGTACATTCGCTAGGGAAGTCGACAAAGCTGTCGATTCAAAAAAGTTTTAAAAAGTTTCTTCGATATTTAAAATCCCGAGAACCGCGATAAAATGACCAGTGCATACCTACCTACTCTTGTTCTCACAACAGTTAGATTTCTTTTTTTTATTTTTGAACTAAGTGGAAATCAAGCCTAGTGTTTAAGTTTCTATCATTCTTTCTTTTTTTGTAAACAGAATTGTAGCTGTTATAGCTACTATCTCTTTATAACCTTTTTCTGTTTAGAGGTGAACAACAGAAAAATATTATTGTCTTATTAAAAACGATACATTAATTTTTTTAATTATATGCCAATCTTGTAAGACTTTGGTAGCAGTGGTGCGTGTTCCGTGGAAGTATTCAATTAAAAAGCTCCTTTTTCTTTTCACTTAACTGCGAGTGCCCAGTTTTACCGAACATCTGCTTGATCAACTCTCTATAAACTAAACTAAGCAAATTTTGTGATTTTGAAATCAAAAAAGCTGATACCTTTAGATCAGCTCTTTTATTTTCAAGTATTAGAAAGACACATATCGCAAGAAAAAAATATGACTTCACCTATTCTTTATGTCTCTAACAATTACCAAACCTTTTCTGAGTAAAAATTAAACTGAATTCATCCAATGGAATATGTAAATCGGCAGATAAATATTACTTAGTGGTTTGTGATCTTTTACTACTCATCCAATATATTGTATTATACGAAGTTACACTTATCGTAATAGGTGCACCGGTTTATCGAATATTATTTTGATTATAAATTTTCTCGCTTTTAGAGAAACTCAAAGGGCTTTATGTTTTTTTGTGCTCGGAATTAAGACAGATTTGTGCCCGTTTAAGATTTTTTGTGCCCGGTTCGGGTACAAAAAAATCTTCTTACATTTTTGTACCCGGAGATAAATATGTGCCCGGATTTTATTGATTTGTGCCCGGTTTTAATTAGATTACGAATAATAATGAGAAAGATCTCAGCTTATTATCACCATTTATTTACTGAGGTAGTAGCAGAAATAGAAAGAACAGAGTGAACATGTAAGTAGAACAGCTAAACACCAGACAACGTATTTCCTACTTTTCTTGGTCTTCCGCGTCATTTCTGGAAATTTTGTGATTTTGCTGGGTCTGTTACAGTATAATAACCAAAATGCATCATTAAACCGATAGCATGCTTACATACATGTGCTAAAAATATATAGACGTATGTCACAAGCGATATCTGTCAGGATAACTTATGTTCATCTCTAGTTTTACTATTAAATTTTCCTGCACACAAACCGGGCACATAGCTATCTCCAGGCACAAAAATGTAAAAAATTTTATTTTTACCCGGACCAGGCACAAAAAATCTTAAACAGGCACAAAAAATACATAAACAGGCACAAATCCGTCTTAATTCCGGGTACAAAAAGATCTTCGTCCAACTCAAAGAGATTGTCTTTCTCTATTTTCACAGACATATTAGCTTGAATACTCTTTCTTTTCTTGTGATTATACATTTTTGTGGATTAGGAAGAAGTAAAAAAAATACAATGACTAATCAATATGGTTATGCGCAACCGCTTTATCCGGTGAGTCCCTCAGGAGGTCTAATATAAAAATCTTTGAGCCATGCGTTATTGGAAATTTCCTGCAATTTGGTTGTTTTTTTTTCCGGTGTCGAAGGCAGAAAAAGTCCTAAGAGTTGATAGTTGCGACGATTATACTATTGTGTATTTTTTTTCTGTTTATTTATTAGAGTCTGTCGTATTGTATTGCTTGTAAAGAACCTGATAAACGTTTTTATTCCTATGAAATCTTGTTGGAACACAAGTCTCTGTTATTAGACGCGAGTTTGAATTGTGCATGAAAGCATAATCTTGGACAACATATGCGTAAGTTTTCAACAGTCGAAACCGGTTGTAGAGGCTGATAAATTATAATACGTTATATTTTTTCAGTTTCAGATATTTATCGAAGTTCAACTCAATCCCCTATATCGTTAAAAGGTAGTTGTCTGGAGCTCTTGGTTTATCGTGAAAACGTTTTATGAGGGAGCGTTATTTTTTTCAAAAGCACAGAAACAGAATTGGTCTTTTTCAATTTTTATTATTTTACTTTTAATAACATTCTAGTGCACGAGTAGTAGTAATGAATCGTTCTGATCCTTGAAACTTCAAGGTTAAAACTTTTACATATCAACGTATCTGGTTTTACTTCGTCAGCTAGCAGTGTTTAACAGCGTTGTTTGGCTTTTTTGTTTAGATCATGGTACATTTCATCTATTATTCAAAAGTATAATCGATCCATGGGTCGATCCGTCAGATTATTCAACAGAAGCAATAAGAACGACACTGAGAGAATCCGTCATGAATCGCTGTGATTTGAAAAGAAATCGGTACATGGTTCTCGAGAAAATCGACAAAAAATCTAAAAATGTTGTAACAGCACATATATATCGGAAATTCAAACCAGCTGGTTTTCTAGTTTGAAAGAGCTTATCGAAAAAATGCGAAATCTAAAAGATCTCGCCTGCGTATGGCACTATTCAAAAACTAGGCGGATTTGACGTTTCAGTCATTTTCTCGCAAACAGACTCCAACAAATACAATGACGCTGTTGTCGCCCTTATCTAGCTTAATTAGTTCTGTTATCACCTGTTGTCACAGAATGTGGAAAATACTCAGGTTCATATGTCACTCGTCTGTGAAACGTTTCGTCACTATTAGCGCGCAATACCAATATTTATTATTTATATGTGCTTCACCAATATTTGCAACAGCCAAATCGGTTCTGTTATCACCATTGAAATCACCTATTATTACAGAAGATGGAGAATTCCCAGTTCCATATGTGACTTGACTTTGAAATGTTCCGTCCGCATTAGCGAGCAATATACTGACGGTGTTATCACCGAAATTTGCAACGGCCAAATCAGATCTTTTATCGCCATTGAAATAACCTGTTGTCACAGAAGATGGGAAATGCCCAGTTCCATACGTGACTTGATTTCGAAATGTTCCGTCACCATTAGCGAGCAATATACTGACGGTGTTATCAGCGAAATTTGCAACAGCCAAATCAGTTCTTTTATCACCATTGAAATCACCCGTTGTCACAGAAGATGGAGAATTCCCAGTTCGAAATGTCACCTGTCTGTGAAATATTCCGTCACCATTAGCAAGCAGTATACTGACGGTGTTATCACCATTATTTGCAACAGCCAAATCGATTCTGTTATCACCATTAAAATCAGCTGTTGTCACAGACGATGGAGAATTCCCACTTTCATATGTGACTTGACTTTGAAATGTTCCGTCACCATTAGCGAGCAATATACCAACGGTATTATCAGCGAAATTTGCAATAACCAAATCAGTTCTGTTATCACCATTGAAATCACCTGTTGTCACAGAAGACGGAGAATTCCCAGTTCCATACGTGACTTGATTTCGAAATGTTCCGTCACCATTAGCCAGCAATATACTGACGGTGTTATCACCGTTATTTGCAGCGGCCAAATCGGTTCTGCCGTCTCCATCGAAATCACCTGTTGTCACAGAAGATGGAGCCTTCCCAGTTCCATATGTCACTTGGCTCTGAAATGTTCCGTCACCATTAGAGAGCAATATACCAACGGTGTTATCACCGAAATTTGCAACAGCCAAATCAGTTCTGTTATCACCATTAAAATCACCTGTTGTCACAGAATCTGGAGAATGTTCAGTGTTATTTGTGGGTTGAGTTACGAATCGTTTAGTACAAGCTAAAGTGAGAGAAAGTAGATTTGATGATCTAATTTGAATAATCTATGGTAAATAAGTTTTAATGTGTGTGTATCCTGCTCGGACTGTGTTGTGTTCGTTTTTAGTATCCTCGTGAATACAGTCGATAAATGGAGCGTAATGGCACGATGGTGGAGTCACTGTGCAGAAACAATGTGGATGCCGTCAGGATGTTTTTGGTTAAGAAGCAGCGAATCGGTACATGCTTGGGTATCACTGATTCTATCTCTAAACGTCTTTAAACGTTGTAGGTTATTGAGATTTTATTGCAACTGAATGATGCTGGAATGATAGAGGAAGTTTTTCAAGAAAGGTGGCCACTTTGAATAAATTTAGATGGGCCATCAACAATGCGATGACGACGAAAAATATGGTTACCCGTTATAACGATGCTTGATGAAAAGTGACCGCTTTAAGCAGCCCATGGTCACGTTTTTCTTGAGTAGTCTGCCGGTTGCGAGAAAGTTATTTTGCGAGTTCGATATTAGGTAACAACGAAATCTGTTCTCTGTCTTTGTTAGATATCTGGAGAGAATATTTCGCTGCCAAAACGGAAAACTCCTTATACATGAGAAAAGAATTAATGCTTATAAAACTAATGAGAGTGGAATTAAAAATCCGCGGTGTTTTTCTGAGCAAGGAATTTTTCTTTTGTGAATTCATATACAATAGAGAAAAAAAGTCGTTATTAAATGAAAATCAACTTGTGCTAGTTCATTACATAGAATGAAAAATTCGAACTCGAACTAAATAGAATGATAGAGCTGAAAATATTTCTTTACTAAACGAAAAACATTTCAAGTTAGTTCAAAGGATCCCTTTTTCTCTCTTTAATCGGCGTGTCTGTTATCTTACAGAAGTAAACGGAAACGATTAATGTGTAGCTTAATCACCGAAATGACTTCGAAAGAGATAGAATAAATTCAATTATTCCGTCAAAAAGATTAATCACTGTCTCGCCTGAAGATCTTGTAGACCATTACGAATCGAATGCTTAAACATGAAGGTGTTAGAAATCAAGCACTGACACTCTTAAATATAGCCTAAGGACGTGTCCATACACATGAAAAGATATTACTAAGATTAAAGCTCAAAACTATCTGTACGCGGGCCTTAGCTGATGAGCTGCAAGAGAGGAGAAGAAGTGATATGATGTTTAATGTGTATGATGTATCGTTTAGTTGTCGCAAACACGAGTTGCGTCAACTAGAATTTATATCAGTATATCAAATTTAATATCACTCAGCTCAGGGGTGTAACCGGTATCAGAAATATGATACCGGTACCAGCTTGTCTTGATCGTATTTTGCCTAAATACAGATACTTTTTCCTTGTTTTTCTTTACTGCGAATCATGTTATCAAAGGGATAGGTTACTCTTTTCCCTTTGATTATGTATAGCTGCTTTTTCACACGCTTTTTTTTAACGAGAACAGCAATCCAATTCAATCTTTCAAATTGAGAAGTTTATATAAGTCGACAAAGTTTAAGTAATTGGAATGAAATTTTGGTGGGAGAAATATGTCACAGATGACTGCATTTATACGATGTTTTTCGAAAAAAAGCGTATCATACCGCAAAATATCAGCAATATTGGCCGACTGATTATACTTCATACTAATGCCGGTATACCGGTCGGCGTTATAGTTCGTACCGGTATCGGTTGCACCTCTGACTCAGCTTACCAACAGTTGTTGTAGAGAATTGTTCACTGTTCCTCAGTCGAATACCCAGCACTATTCCCAAGATAATCGCCGCCATAATGATCACCACCGTTATCACGAGGCCGATGCACACTTTCTTTTTCATGTACCATGCACTAAGAAAAATTAATAAACTGGCTCCAAAATACAAAAATGCATGCTGATGGACATTTACCGGTGTTTGAGTGGTTGCTCATTTAATTCCTATTAGTTGAAACAGGTCATCAGATAATCAGAAATCCACTTAACCATACCTACCGTGGTCGAACTGAACTTAATTTCATTTTCGAAGAGTTGGAAACCCTCAAATTATAAGGAAGAAGTTAAATGAAATTCATATTGAATATTCGAATGCATGCACTTCCTACGATCTGAATCATACTGGACGTCAAAAGCTCAGAAAAAGAGTCGGTCTGTGTTGGTAGAAATTCAATCTACCGTGAAAGGGGAGCTCGAGTAGTTCATGCCGTGGTCGTTTTTGCCTCCAATGGACAATGAAGACGATGGTGGAAGTATAGCCAAGACAGTGAAAAATAATTTAATAATCAGAGGTCCATTCTATAGTGTAGAGACGATTCTTCATGGGTGAGATCATCGACAGGGACTGTTCATTCCGCTTTAGTGATACGAATGTAAGCCAATAGACGAGCAACGATCGGCGATAGCGATTCGTAAGTTTCTTTCAGAGAGAAAAGCGACTCAGAACCATAACCAAAGATGGGGTCCAGAACTTTTTTGTAGGTCCTTCTCGACACCTACTAGATAATGTGGCTTTTGGAGTTGAACTGCGATGATGGCCATGTAAATATTCTTTTATTTCTTTAATTCTGTTAGCAACTTGTTTTACGAAAAGAAACAAAAAATACTGCCTCGTTTCAATAGATACAGAAGTCAAGCGTGTCGTGTTAATGCTGCACGACTGTCTAAGATGTGACACACCTTGGATAACCTTCGAAATTTACAAATAAGCAAAACTTAAAAGCATCACCCGTTCGGGTACAATCATTGGTTTACCTTTACCGTTGTGCATCCTTCTTATAATCGCCTCTCTTAACTGGACTCACGGAGAAAGCAATGTGTGATTTTTTTCGTCTTCCAATAATCTAACTCAACACGACACGCTTGTATCTATTGAAATGATGAAATGTTTTGAATTTTGACATTGTGCCATAGCCCAATGCGATTTGAGCCTTGGCCCAATAAGATTTCGAACTCGACTTTATTTAGCTAAAAATTTGAAAAAAGGTCTTTTGGTCCAGTCCTTTTTTTCGAACTGGTGGAGTTGGCCCAATGGTCAAAAAAATCCTAGTTACGCCACTGATTAGCAGCTAGTCAATTGCTTAATACTTATAAATACTTGATACAATCAAATATTGATGTTAGTTTGATAAGATTAGACTATTTACCATTTCTCGTCGCTGTTGACAACATCCATGTAATGTGTTTACAATTTCTTCCTAAAGAAAATACTATAAAGTAGTGTAAAACAACCAATTTGTCTTCTCATCTAACCAGAGAATCAGAAAATCGATATGAGAAAAGTCAAAGAGCGATCTATCAGTTGAAAATTTGATTTCAACTTGATTAGATGAGGACGATATGAAACAGATAATCGACTATCGACTGATTGTAAAACCATACCTTTGTTTTATTTCTTGACCGAACTCAGAATTATTTTTCAAGAGAACAAAGTTTTAATCTAGTTTGTTATGAGATACATCCGAATTATAGTCTTTCATCACAATTCTAGAGACTAAGCGTTGTATACTGTCGAGAATAGATAGATGTGTTTTGAAGAATGAATCATAAAGAATGAATGTGTATTGAAGAGCTCTTACTTACTCATATCTTGTATAGATGCAATTGAAGATAAAATGGTACAGTTTCAAATACTCTTGAGATTGTGCCAACTAATTTTCTGCATTTACTAACTATGTTGTCAATATGATCTTTCCATGTTACATTATGAACAATATTTACTCCAAGTAATTTTAAAGACTCTGAATTGAAACCCTATCGATTTTTAGCTCATCTAAATTCTTGGTAGATGACAGAATATTGGAAAATAGTATCCATTGACATTTATCTGCATTGAGTTTGACAAGCATTCTGTCACATCATTCTGGCATGCCATCTACACATTTTTGGGCAGCATTCAAGTTTGCATCTTCGAAGTTCACAACGCAAAACACATCATCTGTAAATAGAGATGATAAGTTTGCAGTTCACAGGAAAGTTGGTAGATCATTGATGAAGACCAAGAATAAGGCTGGACCTAAAATACTTCCCTGTAATACATGTGATGTGATAGCTGGCTTTTTCCAGAGAACTGAACCAATAAAAACAGTTGATTTAAAGTTTTTTATTTAAAGAAATCATAATGGACAAGAAAAGAAGACTAATCAAATGAAATCGTCGTCCTAAGGACTACATTGTATCTCCTGAGGAATCTTTAAACAGAACAAAAAAGACCATCACCATAAAATAAAAATAAAAGATTTATTGATGATGAATCTACGTCTCCTCTTCTCACATACGAGCGTTCTCCACCATCCTATCATTGTTAAAAGTTGAACAAATTTTTATTTATTGTACTAAATTGATTGGTAAAATTATTATCAGAAACCTTTTA